CAGTAGCTTCACTAGACCGGATCTGTAGGGAGAAATGTATCTCCACAGGAGACTAAGCTTTTGTGGGAAATAGTATGTAGAAGCAGATGAAGGTGAAGATGCCAGAAAGCAAGAACATCCAAACTGAATGCACTTCATAACAAAATAGTCCTGGCAATGTTTTGTACAGGACAAGTAGCAGATGTGTAACAATGTGGGAGGTGAAAGGGTGGAGTTTTTCTTGAATTATCAGAAGTGCTGTTCTTAGATCAGGTTATGAACATGGCCTTGAAGCAGTGTGATGACAGCGCACAGCACTAACTCATAGCAGAGAGATGATCTCATGGTATTAAGGCCTCGGTATGCTTCAAATAAAGTAGGTCAGACTTATTTAAGTGTTACTACATGTTCCCAAGGAGCACATTTGAAGACGGGCAAAAAAAAACTGCAGCATCTTTGTAGTCTTGACACAATTAAATGTATAAATGGGGATAACAATGCACACTTTCAGACAGTCGCTCCTCAAAGGCATTCATGCTGCTGGACTCTCTTCAAGAGAAGAGGAAGTTGTGCGAAGAATGGAAGAAAGAAGCTCGAACTCATCCACTCTCACACACCCACACACCTGCCCAATCACTGTGTCCAGGAAAGTCGCAGAAATTGTCAGAGGCAGCTCCTTCAATTCAGCTGTGACAGGTTTTTAGACGACCTGACGCACACTCTGTTTGAAGCATACTGAGGCCTTTACGGTGGAAGAGATCGCTTTGCTGAAGGAAATACCACATGAATTCTCCAGCTCCCTTTTGCCTTCAGAGGGTCATGGAATTGTGCATTTCCAGCACACCTCTCTGTTTGGGTGAATGGACTTGGTGTCTACATGTGTTGAAATGATTGATATGAAGGATGAAAGAAATTATAATGGTAAGGCTGTTTTGAAATTATTTAACTATCTAGAACTTGAAGTTCTAACAGGTTTGCCAAGCTGCAAATGAGATTCAGACGTCACTGAGTCTGACATTTTACTGATGAAGCCCTGAAGCCCTGATGATCCGGGGCAAGTTGTAATTACATGACATCCAAACCATGGTTTGGCCAGCTTAGGTTTGTTGAAAAACCAATGATTGTTTAATAGTTTTTATTTGTTTCTGCAACAAGAAGGCTGAAAAATGGCTAAAGAAATGATTATCACTGTACTGTAATTAGCTTTGGGAGGTGATCCACAAGATTGATTGATTCCCATGTCTGTATGGTGACGTGTACAACCACTGCCTGATGTGTTTATAACTTTAACACAGTATAAATAAAATCAACTATTTTGATATTTGTCCACATGCTGAAGGAGTCACTCTTTTCATTGACAGAGGTCATTCAGCTGTCATCTGCAGTACTGAGCAGGCTTACTTTAGCTTACTGTAACCTGAACCCTTGAAGATGTGACCAGTTCAAGAAAACCTTGATCAGAGTGAAGAAGAACTGCACAGATTGAACGACAGACTCCTGTCCTGACCTACAGTGTCTTCATCCAGTGGCAGGATAAAGTGTAGGGGTTCACTGAAGTTCACTGAACTCATTGTCATGTTGATGAAGCCAGTTTGTGACATGGAGCATGATCCTGCTGGAAGGAGCCATTAGAAGATGGTGAACTGTGGTCATGAAGGATGAACATGTTCAGCAACAATACTCAGACAGACTGAGACATTCAGACCATGATTGATTGGTATTAAGAAGAGAACATTCCCCACACCATCACACCACCACCACCAGCCTGGACTGTTGACACCAGGCAGGTTGGTCCATGGATTCAGACTCTGACTCTACCATCTGCTGCCTCAGCACAAATCCAGATCCATCAGACCAGGTCTTCAACTGTCCAGTGTTGGTGAGTCTGTGTCCACTGCAGCCTCAGGTTTCTGGTCTGGGTGACAGGAAGTAGAACCTGACGTGGTCTCTGTGGCTGAAGGTTGGACGTGTTTTTCCCTCTGAAGCTTCTCTGCTCAGCACAGTTGTAAAGAGTGGTTATCTGAGTGACCGTAGCCATAGTCACAGTCACATTTCTCCTCATTTACTGAAGCTCCTCACTTGGAGGAGTTTATGCTGCCACATGATTGGCTGATTGAATCATTGCATGAAAAAGCAGGTGAACAGGTGTTCCTAATAAAGTGCTCAGTGAGTGTATATGTTGTGTACCTACTCAAAAACTATGCTGTATTTACAGTTCCTGAGTGGCATGCTAACGGGTTAGCCTGGTTCCAGACATCTGAATCACTAATCATTAACTTCTCGCCTTGTTGCACTGAAGTACACGTGTGCTCAGGATACTGACCTTACTGCTGGGTGCAGCAGAGCACACTTCTGACCACGCCCAGTCACATCCATCAGTGATGCTGGCTATGGTCAGAGGTGGAGAGGATGGGGCATCCTGCTGTTAAGTTACTTACCTCATCTTTATCCACCACTTTTCCATCTATGGTGGCAAATTAATAATGCTTCCACAAATGTCTTCTCAGATGGTTTGCTTTACAATGTCTGGAAACTAAAGAGCTATAGGAATGGCCTGTTGCATCTTGAATTCCTACTGATCATTACAGATCAAGTATTTATTTTTTCCCACATACAAATGGTAGTTTGAATTTCAAATAAGAAATGGCACTGTTGTAGATAAGGTAGGCTGGTGGAGATGCCATGTATTTACAGCAAAATCCTCACACATTTGGCAGTGAAAGGTCAGACAAGAGGTGTAGTGGAGATGAGGCAGTGACATGTCAAAGTTTAAAAAAATATATCTGATAGTGTGTCCTGCAAACTGAGCTGTGATCAGCACTTCTCTCTCTCTGCTTCCTCTCTTCTCATCCTGTTGGATTTCTGCTCTACTTCCTGTTTCACAATCATGTTAGAGGCAGCTGTTTAGAACTCAGACCACCACCACTCCATTGAGCCAATTTTCATTTCGTCTCTTTTCTTGGATTGTAGTTTCCGTGCTAATCTTTGAATAGCATCAAAATTATTTTACTGGTGGGCAAAAATGAAAAGAAATGCTTTGGAGGTAAGTTGGTGTAATATTTTGACAGTACAAAATAGGTGTCTGTGTTTGTTATAAACATACACATATAAAAGCTTTTTTTTCTGTTCTGACCCCCCCTCTGATTTGGGTTAAGAAGCCCCCCATGGGCATCAGAGAATTTTGAAAAGTCTAGCCTTGCTAATTTTAGTTTTCTGGGAAAATATGTACATCATCAAGTAACACAATAATCTGATATCTAACCAATGGGAAGAAATGTATTATTACCACTTTAAAAGGCCAAATAGCTAGGTTACGATAATAACATTATAGCTAGCAATATTAGCATACTAGCTTGTTAGCTTTAATTCTTTGCTAGTGTAGGCTAAGCATCAATGCTGACGTTACATAATTTTCATTATTCACTTGCTTTGTATGTAACAGGATTTTGATGTCAGTAATTCAAATATCAGTGATAAAGTTGAAATAATGTTTTGAAACAAAATCTTTGTTCTCGGCCCATCAATCTTAAATTAATTGCCAAACTGTTCTAAAAACGTCTTGTATACATTTATGTTGCAGTTAAAGTCAGAGTAACAGCAACATTTGAAAATAAAATTAATCTTAAGCATAAATACCAATTTTGTTTGATCAAAATGACTCACGAAGCAAGATGGCCCCCAAGGGGCTTCTTTCCCCACGACCCATCTTCCCACCAAGATTTTACATTTAGTTTTGTACCAACAAAGTTTTAATGTTTCTAAATGTATTTACTGAAGCATCTTTCTTGTGTACATATTAGATTGATGTTCAAAATATACATATTTTAAAAGAATATGGACATTGGGCATCTTACCCCAGTTTACCCTAAATGTTCGAGCATCTGGATCAGCCAGTACTTGGCTCACTGCAGGTCGTGTCGTATCCTTCATTTTTTATCTTGTATACAGATGGCGTTGCAGTAAATACAAAATCAACATATTGTAAGATTTGCTGACGACAGTGTTGTAATGTCTCTTCTCAGTCAGTGAGATCAATCACATGGACCCATAATGCAACACTTTGGGGACAGGTGTGATGGATCTTTTTGGTTTTTTAGATTTCAATAATCATCTCACCAAAACACACTGACACAATCTTCCAACAGTAGCACAAGTGTTGAGATCATTCAGCTCTACAGATACTTGGGAACGGTGATTATCATATCATATATTACAAGATTTTGATGTTTTATTCCTCCTTTATTTAAAGTATTGTAACTTTTTCACTCACTTGCTGTTTAACTTTTTAGAAAAAGAACTGATTGCAGTATGTTGTTAACCTCAGCTCTAAAATAAGTGGCGAAACACAAAGACTCCTGGTGCAGTCTCATACTGTAGAAGCCCTCACAAAGGCGTATAAGATGATGGATGAGCAGTTAGACTTGTGAACAACCACAGTACAAAAAAATGATTGACTGATGAACTCGCACTCTTGACTTCTGCTTTTCAACACACGTGCCTTTGTGCTGTTGGATAGTGAGCACCGTTTTAAATCCTTTTATTTCAGTTCTTCCTAAAATTTGTATTTTTAAACAGTTTAGTGTGTAAATGAATTATCTGTGTACTTTAGTTCATAAACTTACCTCCAGTTTCCCCCTGAGACGGATTAAGTATTTTGAATTGAAGTGAACCGAACTGAAAGAGAACCAAATGTTTATTAATCCACTGCTGAAAATAGTCCTCAACAGATGTACTATTTCCTCCTGTTTGAGTAGTGTTTGATAAAAGCTTCAGTGTCCACCTGTCTTCGGAAATGAATTCGCTTTAATGCATATATTTGTGAGTTGTTTTTTTTCTTTCAAAACAGATTCACATCCTTACACTGGAGCTGGGGCTGACAGCCACGACAGGCTAGAGAGGTAATTAAGTACTGAGACAACAACACACTGTTGGTTATGGCATTTTAGTGGGATTTGTTGATGTAAGAAAAACATTGAATACTCAGGTGGATGAAGAATGAGAGAAACTTTACCAAGCAAAAACCATATTTATTAATCCAGACAGCAGTGAATAGTGTTTAGTCATGTCCATTTCTCTACTGCCAGTCCTAGAACTACCTCTTATAACAAGTCAAATACCTAGAAAACCGGCTATCCTTCATAAAACAACTCAATATCAAAATTAAATATTCATTAACAAATACTGACATTAGAAACTTAAATATAACAAACATTATGAAACAACGACTGTCCTGATTTCTCCCTGCAGAGGGAGCCGTACCACCACCACTGCTTCATTCTCTCAAAAAGCAAATGTCACAGGATTAAGAAAATATCTGCTGTCTGACATGCCAGGGTTTCTAGAAAGACAGTCTGCATCTACCATCATCATGAAACTGCAAATACAAAGTGACTAGAAGCCCCAGGGAGCATTTGGTTCGTCTATCGCGCCGGTTCAACTGCAGGGACACACACACACACACACACACACACACACACACGGAGAGTCATTGAGGGGAACTTTGAATAAACTTGAAATCAATTACCATTAACTCAATACAACTTACTGTAAGAGGAGATGTCAATCTCGTCTGGCAGCTCGCTGATGTTCACCTCGAAGCGGTCCTGGACATCATTGAGCGTGCGGGCGTCACCTTCGTCTGACACAAACGTGATGGCCAGGCCCTTTGTTCCGAACCTGCCTGCCCGGGCCACCTGCAGCAACACACACCTTTATCACACCTGCTGCCTTCAGAACAGCTGACCTCACTTCTCAGTGTGGATAAAGGCATTTGATACATTACATTCAGTTTACTTACACTTTTACCTGTGGAGAGACTCACCGGTCACTTCAGTTTCTGGGTGATATTCTACTTTTGTCTTTGTTGACATATTCCCTGTGCAGAGCCAAACCAACTATGAAAACCGTCAAATATTTTCATCACGACCAAAAACTACTTCCAGGTTGGAATCTCACTGACAGATTTTTGTCTTTTTAATTAATCAATTTATTCATTTTTTCCAAAACATGGGCTCTAATCTTAGTAAATAAAGCACAACAAATTTAACAAACCTTTGTTATCTTGTTTCAGATTAAGAAATTCAAACAGAAATTCTTCATGAACTTTTTTATTACACAAAGTTGGTCCCATGGTGAGTTTTTCAGTCACCTTCTCACTTAGCTTTGGATCTACATTTTTCAACCGCTGAGCTACTTTATTCCTATGCACAGGCGCACCTACACTTAACTCTGTGTGACTCAAACAGCTGATCTGCGGTGTAACACAATGCATGTCGTAGGTGCACTTGTGGGTAGTAATAGTGTAGTTCAACAGTTTACAAACGGTAGTTTCAAAGTAAAGGGCTGTTTGACAGAAAAATATGGTGAAATGGTGAAAATATTTAAAATAAAGTGAACACAAACAAGTTTTTCTGCGGACCCCGTCCACAGCAGCTTCCTTACCAGTGCTCCTGCTGCTTCTCACACAACCCCACATCAAGTAACGCAAACTATCACTTTAATGGCAGGTCTGAACAGGGCCTTTGTCACAGCTTGTCAACATTACCACATGGAAATACCACACACGTATTAAGAGATGGACGAACTAGTTGAGATGTTCAGATACAATTTTTCTCCTCTTCTGTGAATGATAGGTGAGTGTTTGCCTGCAGAGTCTCCATGTCACCCTCTTGGGGTCATCCTTTAGCCTCTCGAAATAATCCCCCACTTTGGATTTCCTGTCTGACGTATGTAATTACTGTAACAGACTGTCCTATGTTTACTATGGGTTTCCATATTTGAAGTAATGTGTCACCCAAGAGCTGCCGTAAGGCTGGCATAAGGCAGTGCCGCTTGTGACATTTGTGTTAGGGAAAGCCGTACTTTGTCTCTATGTCCCGTTTATTGTTTTTTTGTTTAAACATGCAGTTAGTTGAACCGAGGCGCTCGGTTACATCGCTGTCTAATAACCACAGGAACCAGAGTGTCGGCTCTTCTCATCGACCAGCCTATTATTTGGGGGTAGCACTAGAACCAACATATTGCTGGTTTGGGTCTACTCATGCACTCAGCTGCTGATAAGAAGAAACACAGAGTAACACCAGCTGGACCCTTTAAGGAACTGAGTTGATGTTTGAAGTTGTTGAAACTGTCTGTGAGCAGAGGACGGCTCAGACTCATACTGGCATCTGACTGAATCCTGAGTGAGGTTATTGGTGACAGGACACTTCTTCTTTGGTGTCTTGTATTTGGCTTTATTTGAATGTGGCCTTGTACAGTGAGCAGTGGGTAGCGTAGGTTGTAGGGTTCAGCTCGTGTGTGCATGTGTGTGCGTGTGAGAGAGACAGCTTTACCCTGTGTAGGTAAGTGTCGGAGTCCTCTGGCATGTCGTAGTTAAAGGCAATATTGACTCTCTCGATGTCCATCCCTCGTCCAAACAGGTTGGTGGCCACCAGGATTCTCCTCTGGAAGTCCTTGAACTGCTGGTAGCGAGACAAACTACAGACACAATGGAGAGGAGTGAAGCTCAGGAAATACATTATATCCCACTGACAGCTGCAATACAACGCAACAGAGATGACCTCTGTACACAAGACACATCCATGAATTATAATGCTCAAGCAGCAGATAGCAGCAAAGCACAGATTTGTTCAATCCAGAACAAATCAGAAGGGAGTGATTTGCATCGGAGAGCACACACCTCCCCCAGGGCCAATGTCAAACAACATAAAAATTCAAACTGGTAGTAAATGATCTGGATCTGCCCCAAAATTGAATGTGTTCTTCCCTGGCATTTGCCCCACCCCCTACCAAGTTTTCTGCAAATCGTTTTTTGTGTAATCCTGCTGACACAGGTGAAAGCATGACCTCCTTGGTGGAGGGAACAAACAAAACAGAAAGAGTCTGGAGAATGCAGCATTTTCTGTTGTTCATGTGAAGTGGTTGGGTGCTCAGCCATTCAACACTGAGTCTGCTGTGGTGCCTCCGTGGCTCACATGGTAGAACCCGTATCACATAGGCCACCACATTAGTCCTAACTGTACTATCAGAATAAAGGCAAAAATGCACGAAAAATCGAACTTAAAGAAACAAACAAACATTGAATCTGCTGAGAACTGAACTGTAATAGTCCTCGTAACTGGTTTGCTGCTGTTTTCCGAAAGTGCCAAAAAAGTTCTCAACTTTCTTTGTCATTTAACTTGCTCTTTCCAAAGCTTTCAACTTTTTCAATTAGCTGGTTGCAGACCTCTGAACTGCCACCAACATTGTTCAGTGAGTCAGACATCTGCTGTATCAGCAACTGTGGGCACTGACAGCTGTTTTTCATCATTTGGAGAAACATTCTTGATTTTCCCTGGCCAACGAAGGCTCCAACAGGTGGATCCTTTATGGTTCAACCTATCCCAAGATTCATTGCGTGCCATTAATGAAAATAATATGGCAGCAAACAACACTGACAGAGAGCCTGAGGATTACACTGTTAAATGTAAGTATTGGGTTTCAGCTCAGTTCAGCACCTAATGGTACAACGGTTAAAACCAAACACCTTGAAAACTTAAGGTTTTGTGGAAAAAAAGTTACGTGTTGTCAAGGTTGCTAGGCAACAGGAGATGTGCTTTGCGACGCAAGAATAAGGGCAGGCACAGCTGGTGAGGCAAAGTGAAAATCCTCTGTAGACCAGACTGTCTCATTTGGATCGGCCTTCACGGTCTACGATGGGTACAAAGGATCACATCTTCGTAGACAGCATCCTCCGAAGGTTGTGGCCTCTGACTTGGGACAAGTGAAAATGACATTATACAGAACTTTCTCATGCACTTGAATAGGAACTGTATGTAGTTCACTACCAATTAGATGACGATGCTGGTCTCCATTATGTTTCATTTGAAAGCATGTTGTTTTGATGCATTCATACCTATTCTGTCAGTGTATTAGCTTGTACAAGCCATAAACAGGCCTGTGTATCGATATTAGTCGTATTCACATATATATATCAGTAGCACTGTATCAGTTTTGTTGGGTTTTGATTGTTAATGTCTGCTTTATTTCCCACCTTTTCACAAACCACACACCCAAAACTTTAACAAAGGTGTTTGCCTGTACACCATGTCAAGTCATGTGATCAGTTGTGTATGTGTATGAGCAAAAGCCACTCCCTTCTCTTTCTCTTGGCTACTTCAACATTTCAAATCCTGTGTTGGTGTGGAGTTTGTGCTTCTCTTTTCAGTTACCGTTCCTCCTGAGGCATCCCTCGATGGATGGCAATCGCTGGGAAGTTCTGCTCCACCAGAAGCTGAGCCAGAGCTACACACCGCTGGACAGACTTGACAAAGATCACCACCTGAACAACACAGTGATACGCTCACTCAGCTACTGTTGGCATCTCTATACTCAATCTGTTAATCCATTTTAAGAATTAAGGCCTCAGTATGCTTCAAAAAAGTGCTTGTTCGATCATCTAACAATGTCTAAAACCTCATTCCTGACAGCATAGTGAGGGGCGTGGGGGGGTTCCTGAAGTTTCAATTCACTTTTGACAACAAAGTTTATTCAAATCTATAGGAACAAGTGCTAAATGTCATCACAAATGGGAAGTGCATCTCCCTCAATCCAACAACCAAAGGAGTGTTCCAGTGCAACAGCTTAGTTTTGTTAAAAAATGTGATGCAAGGCGAGTATTGCAGTCTGAAAGGGGACATTTTCAGCCTGTAATAAAAACGTGCAGTGAGTCTGCTGTCCTGAGGAGTTGGACCAGGACACAAGCGAACGGGGGAGCCAACCGGTCAAACAGGAGTGCAATGGTCGCACAAAAGTGTGGGGTTTGACCGTGGCCTTAAGATAGGAAGATGTAGTTGCCTTACCACTCTGGACTAGTTGCAGAGGTGGTAGATGCAGGTGCTCCAGTGAGAAGTAAGTTGCGCTTGTTCTGGCAGGAGGTGCCACCCACCTGAATAAGCTCCCTAGCGGGGGCTGAATCATCCTGGTATTGTACAGAATCTTCAGGAACAGGCTACTATGTTTGCTGAGAATGGCAGCTCTTGCTCCAGGGTCACAGCCATGTTCCCCACTGCTAGAGTTGGCATCAACACAATACTGTCAACAGTGATCGACACCCCTTGGCACAGGCATCCCTTCCCCTGAAAGAACAAAAGCTCAGGCCTGTCCAGGTTCAGCTGTAGGTAATACCTTAAGCTCCAAATATTGAGAAGAACAGTTGGGTGTCATCAGCATAGCTGTGGCAGGAGCAGTTCAGGCACTACATCAAGACCACAAGGACATGCAGAAGATGCTGACATCATGGGGGGAGATCAGGGTGTAGTCAAGAGACCTCAATAAAATGAAACCATGGTCTGTTGGCAGTTTATTAGGTACAACTAGCTAAAACTAATGCATGCTAACACAACAGTCCTGCAATAAATCCTCCTTCATGAAGGTTGTAATGTTTGGAGGATGTACTGTAGTTTGTGGCAGGTAGGTGTATCTAATAAACTGCCAATGGAGTGTAGTGTATAATCCACTTCATTTGCTTCTATTTCAACATTCTAAATTGTTGTATGTTCTTCTTTTATGTATGTTTTATTCTAAAGTTCAAGAAGGAGGTCAACTAAGACTTTGTCAAAGGTTACCTTCAACCACCCATTGTAAGTTGAGTTTAAGGAATGTGCATTAGGGGGCAAAACTGTTTACACATCGGTTTTCTGTTACATACGGTACGAGAGACTCAGGATGTGGGTTTTTTTGCTGGCCTAAAAGGTCAAAGGCCAGAGACCAGAGGCCGTAGACCAGATGTGGTCAACCATTTGGGTGAAGGCTTCTTCTTATAGGAGACGGTAGAAGAGAGATCTCACATTGGCAGAGATGCTCCAGGATTCGGCATTTTTGACACTGTTTCTTTCTTGTAAATAAACTTCTTTTTGATTGCAAGTAAAGACGTGTCAGCGGTGATCACTTCTTCACATCAGCACCTCAAGATACCACAGGAGTGTATTTATTTGTTAGCTTTGCAATCAATTCGCCAAGGCTAAAAAGAGGGAGCTTAAGGAGAAGTGGGGGCAGCAGCTGGACTTGGATAGGTGGTGAACTGACACATTATACAGCCTACTTCATTTGAAGCATACTGACACCTTTAAGTCTGTTCCCTTAACATATGTGTAATGAATAAAAACACATAGCACCTCTCACACACTTGTCAACAAAAGAGAACACAAAAGGAGGAGGGGTTGAGGGTGTTGGGTTCAGATTCAGACCACAGTACCTGATTGAACTCTAGTGCATCAAGGAGGTCAAAGAGCTTTCTGTTTTTCTCATTGTCCTTCAGCTTGACGTAGTACTGCTGCAGCCCGTGCAGAGTCAGCTTGGTCTCATCGTCCACAAAGATTTCCATCGGCTGGAGCAGGCAGGGGTTGTAAAGGGTTAGGGGGGGTTGAGGATATTGAAGGAGGGACATGGGTGTGGAAATAAGGGAATGTGGAAGTGGAGTTTAGTAAAGCAGGTCAGACAGAATATGGCAGTATGAGGGGGGAGCTTTACAGGACAGCTTAAAAGATATATATGACAGTATAGAAATGAGTGGGGAGAAATATACCAGTAAGGAAGGCACCAAGTTACAGAGGGCAAAACCAGAGGTGACACAGAAAATCATGAAGAGAAAGTTCAGGAGATGGAGTGGAGGAGCGATGGTAGAGAGGAGACAGAGGGAAGGCTGTGGGGTAGCTAACCCCCAAAACACTCACAGATCAACTGCACACACACACACACACACCGCAATACCCAAAAGACATCAAACTGACTGGTAGTGCTACTGAGAAGATTAAAACGACAACACAACAAATTGACTCATGAGCTTTTTCTGTCCCGCTTTGGCTCCTCTACGACTCCATCAGTTCAGGATCTCAGCATGTACCAATGCAGACTCATGAGTCTATACACTAATCCCTATCTGCCCCTTGATCTAATTTAGGAACGAGGGAATTCGTCACATTATTACAACAAATAAATCTAAAGCTGCTATCTTCTAACGATGTACAACTGTCAGGCATTTAATGGAACCTCATTATAGAGCTTTACCTCATCCTGTGCTATAATAATGCTAAGGTGATTACAGTCCATTATTTTCATTATTGATTCACCCTCCAAATACTTTCTCAATCAATTTAACTGTAAAATAGCCAAGTCAGACACCTTTGTGTGTCCCATGTGGTATGACCAGTAACATGTCAAACTCAACCAGCAAGCACATAGACAGTACAAGTACCCAACACCACCCAATACTAACGCAACTTTCACGTGTGAGTGGTGTTTGTGTCCACCTGATGAATCTAAGTCCAGTAATCCCCCTCTTTTTGCTCTGCATTTGGTCTCAACCACTTCCTAAATGCTGCACACTATTCACCAGCTGCTATCTAACTGTGTCTGTCTGCTGTTTGCTGCTGAGCAGGTGATCAGAGCTTTTCCTGAGCTACCTCATCCTGCTGAACATGAGGATGATGAGAGTGGTGAGACTGAACCACAACAGTAAAGTTGCAGCCCATAAAAGCAAACAAGGCTAAAAAGAAAACAATTGACTCCTATCACATTACACAGCATCTACCAGTAAACAAAGCCTGTATGATGCCTCTCATAGCATCATTAATGCACTCCTTTCTACTGATTTCCATCTACTCATGCAAGCAGTGCTAAAAGGAAGAAGAATACAGAAGTATATTCAGTTTATCTACCAAACACAGTGGCCAGTAAATAAAAATACTGATTTTCAAACTTTTCTAACCCATTAATGCACTATACTGTAGCACACCAGAACAAACCACAAGTTTTTCATCAGCTGTATACGACTGTATCCGATGCCTGAATTACAGCTCAATGCCAACATAAATAAAATTGTATCATGAGGAATTTAGTCTCTGGGCCACTGCAACACTGGTCTTCAATGAAAGACACTTCTTCACTTCCTGCTCACTCACTTCAGAATAAAAGCTAATTATCATATTTCTTTAATAGTTAGTAAGTAAAAGTCTTCACAATAAACTGCAGTTGGATAAGAGGAGCTCGTCTGGGTCCTAGACAAGGCTAGATTATAAGATGGGCAATGCACAAAACTGCCCTGAGGTCCAGACCCTTGGGGGCCCCAAAGGCTCCAGCTTCACCTTGTGATAAATAGTTTGTGGTAATTTAATCAACTGCATTGCAATTTGTTTGTTAGTACTGTATCACTTAGGCACAGTATAAACTGAAATGAAATGACAGGAGCTTTAGCAACTCCAGAGGCCCCTTAAAACAAGGGTTACAGCCTTCATTATTTCAGTTTATGTTGTGCTTACATGGTGTATTTTATCTCATACATTTTTCCATCGAGTTAAATCAACCACAAACTAAATACTAACTGATACATGCACAGTGAATAGAAGGTGGAAGGAACGAGGAGAGTAGGCAGCAGGAGCTGAGAGTTGATGACTGCAGCACAGAGGTGGAATAACTGTCATAATGAACACAAAGTCTTGTCAAATGCAACATCTAGAATCTAAATAAATTTTAGCTTAAAAGTTGCAGCTTCAGATTTTTTGATTTGCTTTTCTCTTAAATGTGAACACCAATAAATTCTTTATTTAAATATTTTTGTCTGTTTTCAACTCTGTAATTCTGACTTCTCTTATTTTATATTTTCTGACTCCCTGCTACACTTCACTACATATTTCTATCATTTCAAAAAAAGAATTAAATAAAATGATTTCAGCTTTTGCAGTATAACGTATCACTGACAAAATGTAAGGTTTTTTTTTTTTTGACTATGACACATGTGATAACCAAGTGATGACTAGAGAGCTGCTCTCAAAGGTTCCTCCCAAACTTCACTGTAGGTTGGAGAGAGTCACGTGATAGATGTGATTTTCTATAATTACTTTTCGAGATGAGATTTAAGTTGGCTCTTGGCCCTGGTCTAAGACATGGGCTCATTGTTGAATCTTGCCATGTCGAAGCCAAAGAGGTAAATCTACAACCTATGACAGTTCCTGAACTTAAAGCTCCATATTTTCTTCTTCTCCTGTGTTTTATTTGAAGTGTTGATCAATAAGAAGATATATTTGTGGTTTTAAGAACCAAAAACCATCTCAGTGTAGTTTTACATCTCCTCTCTCAGGCTTCTCTCTGGAGCTCTAGCAACAACAGGTCAGTGAGCCAATCAGAAGAGAGGAGGCTCTTAGTTTCTCTCCGGATTGGCTGACTGTTTTCTGAGTGGTCCAAAGTAAACAGTAGAATAGACACTCAGAGAAACCAAATCCTGCAAGGCTGGATGGTTGGTCCAGGTGGGCGGGGCATGACTGAGAGTGGTGACTGCTTTGTTGTAACATCACAAAGTTCCAGATGTGCATTTCTCTGTAGACTGAGCGCTTTGATGCCTTCACAGTATTAATATAGAACCTAGACCTGCTTTATAATCACACAGCACATGGATAGAGACCTTTAGACTATATGGACCTTTAAAGTCACAGAAGTGCAGTGATGCCAATTTCTGAGATCAGGTCTTAAAGCTGCAGTATGCAACTTGACTTAACATTAAAAGACAACTGCAATAAATACATGGCATTTATACCACACTAACAGACTGTTTTCCTGGCTGACTCTTCTCAATAATTTGGAGTTTTTACAGTTCTAAACTATTTGCTATGGGTGTGTGGCTGTGTGGCTGTTTCAGTATCAGGCAGGCAGCGAAGAGTGTTGACACATATTGAAAAAGGAAGATTTCAGCTGCAGATTAGATGCTTTCTCTGTCGCTTCTTTGCCGTGTCTGACTCGGCCTGACTAACCCTAACCGTAAATGTTTGTTGGGGAGGGAACTTCACAACACGCTCCCTGTGTTAAGACCAGATGTTGCATATTGTAGCTTTAAGGCAGGGTGAACTGAACTAATGTAGCCCGTTTACAGTTGTGTCAGGCTGAGGCACAGCAATGGCCAGGCTACGACATGACAGCACAGTGGGCAGACGTTTCCCCACATTCCCCACGCACTGAAGCGGCTGCTTGGAGTAAAACTTCTTTCTTGCTTGTAACTTGGATTCATGGAGGTCGCGGGGCAACATGGACTCTGTTACCCGCTGTTCCAGCAGGCACGGCACAACAGGGGGAGGAGTAGTAGAGGTGTGGAGGGAGTAAGAGCAGGCATGGTGAATGCAAGTGGGGAGTCGTATTTACATCTTGCATGAACTTTCTGCAGACTGGACGGATCTCTTTGCTCAGAGTGGCGCTGAACATCATGACCTGCTTCTCATGGGGAGTCATACGGAAAATCTCCTGGACGTCTCTGCGCATGTCTGAAGAAGAGAGCGGTGACTCAGATTAGTATCACACAGTCATACACACTCGTCTAATGGCAGTGAATAAGGAATAAAAGGTGATGAATTAAAGGAAAAGTCCACCCAGCTATTATATAACTATAATGATATAACTATGTTACAACTATGTATTACAACTAGTTTGATGTTGTATCTTTTAAGGCAAATAATGTAAGCATGTGTTAGATGTATTACATATACATATATATATATATGAAGTGTGGCCAGTTGTACATTTTTAAAACAGAAACACAGAACATAAACAAATTATCCTTAAAATTTGTATTGTTTTTTGAAGTTGAAGTTGAAGACAGTGCCCTGGTTATTAACTAAAATAAGACTAAGGAGCTGGTTATTGGGAGCCACCACACTGTTTAATGATCAGCCTGTTGAAGTGGAGAGGAGTTCAAATCTTTAGGAACCTTTTTTGATTGATTGCACTTTAAGTTTCACAGCCAACACTAACTACATTTTTAAAAAGCAACGCCTGTATCTGATCAGGAAATTAGACTCATATGACGTAAGCGAGAGACTGTTTATGAACAAGAGACTTGGATCACCTCACGTCCCGTCACGATCCCCATGACAAAAGAACATTTGCTTACGGTACTAGTAGTCTGTCACCAAGAATGCTAAAGAAGTATCAAAAAATGTATTTTAATGTGCGAATATATCAGGGGCGCAAACTCACCAGGGGTGAAAAAGGTGACAATGATGTGACTACTACTATTAGATTGGCCCAGTGTGACACAGACAGCACTGCTGCTGTGAGGGACAAGCGCTGTCCAGTGGCTGTGGACCGTACAGTAACTGATATCAGAAATTGAAGAATAAAAACTCTTTGACCACCGGCCGTTTGACCTGACTGGCAGTTTCCAATGGCTAGTCCGCCCCTGACCATGAGTGTGTTCCACGTTGCCAGGGAGCGAATCCAGACAGCCTATCCAGCAGCAGCATAGTTGCTTAGATGTAAGCCTGCATATCAATGTGATGACATTCCCTTTAAATATAAGAAGGGCTATGTGAGGGCATATTTACTGACCAAGCTGCTCGAGCATCTTGTCACACTCATCCAGGATGAAATGTTTGATGTGACGCAGGTTGAGTGTCTTGTTGCGTGTCAGTGCCAGGATCCTGCCTGGTGTCCCCACCACGATATGAGGACAGTCCTTCTTTAGCACCTCTTCATCCTTCTTTATAGACAGCCCTCCAAAGAACACTGCCACCTGCAGAGGCACGCACACGCACACACACACACACACATATCACATATCACATATCACACATGCTGTGAGACAGTTGAGATTTGGTCTGTGGGGAAGAATCAGGAGACGGTGTTTTACCTTGACAGTGGGCATGTACTTTGAAAATCTCTCATACTCCTTGCTGATTTGAAAGGCCAGCTCTCTGGTATGGCACATCACCAGGACCGACACCTGGAGCAAAACAATGAGCGTTCATGATCAAGTTCCTCTTATGACGTTCAATGCAAAACACCTTCAGCACCAACTGATGAAAAAAATAATTTCTCTGCAACTGCTGAGCGACATCAGAACGTACACAAATGACAGGGTTTGGCATTAACGTTAGTGGTCAAAATAGGTGAGGAGGCCCACTCACTTTGTCTTCTCTATCATCTACTCAGGCAGCAGGCAGGTCACAGCCTGATTTCTTTATACTGTATCAAGCCAAGTTTTCAGACAAATATCCAAACATGTAGACTCCACCAGTCCATGTGACCAAAAACATTTCCTGTGTAATACAATTCAAAGCTTTATACAGTTTTACAATATGACAACCATAATGTCAAAGTGCTGCCAAACACCTCAACCTTTCAGCCAGGGAAGAATATGATATAATGACAAAATGGCTCAGTGTGGAGTCAGCACCACAGCTCTGTGTTAAACCCCACAGCAGCTCTCAACTTAATCTGGCAAAGACTGGAAGAATGATATGGGTCATCAAAGGTAGCTGAACGTGCACTGCTGAAAAAGGCTGAAGAGATTCCTCTGGAGACTGGACTCTTCCATCCAGAGATTTCCTGTGGATGCACATGGTGAAAGAGTCAACAGACTCCACAGTGATTCTTATGCACAACAGTTAGACCTGTGGTGGGTCACCTGTGGGTGAAGCCTGCCTCATAATGATACTCACAAACCATCAACTGTTGATGTATTGAAAACACATGTGCTCAGTAACAGTCACACATCCTTTCTCAGGCCCTGTTCAAACAAAATGCTGGTGAAGGAGACACTCAACCACATGCCGTCACATCTCAGCTGTTCTTCAGTCTTCAGTGCAGGAGGAGTACCTCTGTCTCACTGAGCCCTTCAACCACCGCTGTGTCTCCAGCACAAGAGGTTACAATACGCCCTCTGAGCAGAGCTGCTCCTTCAGGGTAGACGGAAAGTCTCGAGAGTTAGCATGCTAACTTCAGTAGAAGAGAAGAAGTGATGGAAATAGAAGCAAAACAACAGTTAACTTTGGCACTGCTTTTCCTTCCTCTGGAGGCAGCTCTTGTTGACTAAAGGAATGACCTTTGATGCTGAACTCACAACGTTTCTTCTAAACTGTTAAGAAAACAGCTGTTGTTGATGTGATGGCTATGTAGCAATAGCAAAACTTACAAATAGCTCATTTTACATTGCTTAGAATTTGCAATCCCATTCCAAATCCTTCTCAAAATGATTTCAAAAAACAATCTCACAACTCACAAATTCCAGAAGAGTTGACAAATACTGATGAACTGCTTTCCAAGGTCAAGAATAAAACTGGACTTCTACATAAAATGTTTATTCTCTGATAGACAAATGATATTTTAAGAGAAATAATGTTACAAATGTGTTCAATTCCAGCGTCTTTTACTAACTGTCAATAAAAATATACCTTGAGGAGATTGAGATTGAGAAGACAGCGCTGGTTTCAGCCCTAAGCACTGCCTGCAGTCTTTCTCTCAAACTGTGCATGGTAATAATGAAAGGTGACTCAGATGTGTATATCAACATGTTTATCAGTCAGGTTAGGGGGAGGATCACCTGTCCAGTGACGGGCTCCAGCTGCTGCAGGGTGGCCAGAACAAACACTGCAGTCTTCCCCATCCCAGACTTGGCCTGACAGAGCACATCCATACCAAGGATTGCCTGAGGGATGCATTCATGCTGAACTGTAATAAAAACACACATTCAACATGTCTCTCTATTAAGGCAGTCTTTTATCAGGGGAATGGAAGTAAAGAGAGACAGAAAATAAGAAAGGGAGTGAAAATCAGCAAAGGTTAAACCACTTGCATCAATAAGTCTCATCAAGTTTTTTAATCAAACAAAGAAAAGCATATTTGCTTACTTCTCTCTTCAGTTTATTGGAACTCTAAAACCATCAAACTTACCCTCAGATGGATGCTCAAACCCACAGTCCACTATGGCTCTGAGCAGCTCAGGTTTCAGCAGGAAGTCTCTGAATCCAGAGGAGTGAATGGACACATAGGAACCCTTCACTCCCTCCTTCCTTATCGACATGTCACCTCCACCTCCAACATCCCCAACCCCTGCAGCCTCCACCTCGTCCTCCTCATAGTCCAACAGCTCGTTGTCCACGTCGTTCTCAGTCATCCTGACACAGCTGTAAAACACACGTGTTATGTGAAACTCCAGAGGTATAATATAATGACTGGACTGCTGTATTAAACAACACTACATTTCAGAGTGTTCCAGTTTTCTTTGGACACTACAGACTCAATTTCCACCTCTGTAATTTCTTCATAGGAGATGTAACATTCCTTAAGTTGCTATATTAAATTCAGTACTGGTGTCACAAAGTAATTTTGATTTGAATAAATCAACTGATTCTTTATTTTCTCAAGGACACAAACAAAATAAAGAGCAAAAAAAACATCACATAACAAATACCCTGCTCTTTAACCCTCCCTCCACAACCACACAGACTAAAAGATGAGAGGCATATAAATGCATATATACTTCTTTAATTCATCATAGTGCTGAAACAAACTAAAACAAATCGATTAGTCGATTAGTTCATCTACTGAAAAGTCAATTGATCATTTAAATGATTTATCAAACACTCACTGGTTCCAGTTCCTCAAACTCAGCAGATTTCCTGCATTTCCCTGTTTCTATACCGATGCAACTCTAAATTATTTAACTAATTAATCATAAAATAATTAAGAGATTGATCGACAATAATAAAAGTAATTGTTAGTGCCCCCATATTGCAAGTGTCCCCATATATTCTGGAATATCAGTGGTTGGGATGTTTACCACACATAGACTGTAAGTCCAGGTATATTAACAACCGCCAAAGCATATTTGGCAACTTTTTTTTTGTAATGCATTTTTTTTTTTTTACCCAGAAGTTTTGCATCTCCTGGCACCTTAGTACATTGTACCTACTGGAAGTGTCTGGATGGTTATTAGAGTTATATATGTGTAAAATCCATTTATATATGGAAAAAATTCCAAAATAGTAATAACTGCATGTTAAAGGCATGTTGCACCGAGGTAGTCTTTTGTTAATTGATGTATCCCTAGCCTCAAAAAATATGCTGACAGCTTGCCTGAGACTAGACAGGAGGGTTTATGCATACAACTGACTGTGACAACAGCTGTCGGATTTCAATGTCAGGAATTTCATAGAATTTAAGTATGTGGAATTTCTGGTAAAGTTCTGCTCCTTTATTTTGAAGGAATAGTCCGGAAGCCTTCTTTTCATAATATCGTCGTGGCCGACATCAAAGCAGCGATCAAGACACAAGCAGTTTAAAAAACAGAGGGATTATTTTTGCTGGTTGGATTTTTTAAAATCTGTTTTTTTTCATTTTTTTGCATATAACAAATCATATTAACCAGCTACTGAAAGAAATTCGGCACAAGATTCTCGCGTACTCAGAGAAATGTGTGATATTAGGTTGGCCTATGTGCATAAAGACTAGTTACTGTGCAACGTTAGCCTGTCAAAACCAAACTGAAGTATTTGAACGGCTAGCTGCAGTTAGCTCGACGGCTAACAAGCAACTCATCAAGTTGCCTGCTAAACCAGTTTCCGGCTCAAATCTGAACTTTAAAATTTAACAAATATATCGCGGTATGTAATGGTAATGCTGTCGGTTTACAATGACTTTTAACAATCGACATACCTTAACTACGAGAGATAAAAATGAACCACAACGTCTGTTCAAAGTAAAGCGCTAACGTTGGCGTACCTAAATGACGTTTCAGTATGCGACGGTGAAGAGTAGAAGGACCCAGCGGTGTGCGACCATGCGGATGCCAAACTTGGAGTAACATCACAGAGACACTTTCATCTTTCCGACGAAACTGCTTGTTATTTGTCGGGAATAACAATAGTTACAAATTAAACAGGTCAGTAACTAAATTCTGGTCTCAGTCTGTCTAAGGCTAAATTGAATATAACGGTAGCTAATAGATCCAGATGTGGTCCAGTTCTCACGTGCTAAAGTTACATGCTCCCTTAAATTCTGTGCTAGCATTTGTCACATTTTCAATTCTTACATACACGCAGTCCCATGTTAATATTTTAATTTATTTTGAAGGCAAGCCCTCAAGTGTGTCAGTGTCGCCGCAACACAGACTCAGAATACAATAAGATACATTTCTCAAATTAATCGATAAAGAAAGTTGAGTCTTTCTTTTAATACAAGTATTTACACTACACTACAACTTAATTATTTCAAAGTCTCAATTGTAACTAATTTTGTAAATATACTGATATACAATGCAAAAAAAACCCTCAAAAGACAGTTTGTGTTTGTTGTGGTACACAGTGACCATGTAGGGATTTAATACAGTACTGATGCTCCTTTTCTTCACACAGAGATGTCGTGTTTTGGTGGTGATCCCAACTTCTGTCCAGAGTGTGGGAATGTTCTTCCTCTCCCAGGAATACAGGACACAGTCCGCTGCCCCCGCTGCTCCTTCTGCATCCCTGTGGCAGGTACCAAGTATGGTCTACAGAAGGTTGTATATTAGCCCAGAAAGACAGCACACTCCTCAGTGCACTAGTCTGTCCAATGTGGAAATGTAGCTACGAGGGAACTGTTCTTCTTTACAAATTAAATGTCAATAAAAACACTGGTGAGCTGCGTCCTGGAGGTCGTCTGTAGAGTTACAACTACAGTTCATTTGAGTAATAGGAGCAGAGCAGCTGACATTTAGGGAGTTGGTTCAACAATTTACAAATACAGCAAAAAACAAAACATATTCTTACTTCCCTCTAGTGGTATCTACCCACGCCTTAAAAGTCAACAATAAAGTGTCTTTCCAGAAACAATGTCCCTATTACATTAAATAATCCACACACCTCACTGTCCACTTTCATTAGAAAAACAGTCCATATGCAAACAGTTGGTATCATTTTTTGCACAGATTTCCACAGATTATCCTTAACATGCATGTGTTTTATTTTCCAGAGTTTTCAGGTCAGAAGATCCACTCTACAGTAATTTTTAACCCCGTGGAGCAGTCATCAGTGGTTCTGGAGGATGAGGAGGACTCTGAACTAAAGGGACCTGTGGTAAGAACAAACCAACTGCACTGCTGCTCGCTGACTGTTTTGTGTTATGGCAACAATGGTACATTGTATTAACGAGGGCATCTTCTTCCTTTAGATTGACAGACGCTGCTCTCGCTGCAATAAAGAGGGGATGGTTTACCACACCAGGCAGATGAGATCTGCAGATGAAGGACAGACTGTCTTCTTCACCTGTATACACTGCAGGTAATCAGTCAGTTTCATTTAGCTTTTTCCAGGAACCTGATTCCTTAAATGTCATGTAAACAGGAAACCTGATTTATCTAGGTGAAATCCTCCTGGATTTCTCTGCCATGTTTACTGGTAACCAGGTTTCTAATTGGCTTTTTATAAGTACACATGTGCATAACAGACTACAGACAGAGAAAGTACCAGCAGAGTGGCTGGATGAAGGGAGAGATGCGGAGTGATGCGTCTTTGTATTTAAAATCATTCCATCCAAAGTCCCACTGAATAATCCACTTTAAATAAGTCGATCTACACACTGAGCATTTGACAGTTAAACTCAGACATGTTCATGCTGTGAGGGTAAGCTCTGTGTTTGTTTGTCCTCTCACTGAGCTCTCAGGCTATACACACACACACACACACACACACACACACACACACACACACACACACACACACACACACACACACACACACACACACACACACACAAACAAACAAACAAACAAACAAACAAACAAACCAGGACCTGAGGACACAGACTGCCTCTTCTATCACTGCTACTTTAAAATAAGTCAGTAATTTTTCCAAAATAAGGACAGAGGCAGGGCAGAGATCTGATCACTGACCTGCTGCATGTATTGCAGATTTACAGTAAGCTGGTTATTACAGTGCATGTAACTATGTACTCCAAATTACCCTCATAGCCTGGTTTCTCTGACTAACCTGGTCACTTAAGTGCATGTAAACACACTGAGTATGAATACACTGTGTGTTGTGGATCATTTTGTTCTGCCTTGTGATTTTTTTGCTGATTTTTGGTGTTACAGGTATCAAGAGAAGGAGGACTCCTGAGAAGAAATCTGCCTTTGTTACTTCAGATGGTTGGATGGATTGTAAATATAAGTTTGAAGAAGGACCCTCAGTGGATCCTTTACCTCTGGTTTATCTAATGAGGCTGTGCACTGCAGAGCTTTCAACTGCATCTTGCGGTCTTCATCACTGGATGGAGTTTGCTCTGTTTTCATGGAAAAAGTGTAGCTCGGTTGTCATTGATGATCTACTGCTGAATGCTATGAGATACAGTTACAGCTTGTAAGAGGACCTCAAGTTAAGTTTTTTTTTGTCGTTGTTAAACTACAGTTTCCAAGAAGAAGAGTGAACATTAATGGTGAACAGTATTTGTTTACTTAAGGTGTAACATATATAACAGAAGTTGTTTATTATAAATGTTATTAAAGCTGCATTAATGAATATTTTGCTTGATATTTTGTTGTAGTTTTTTTTTGGGGGGGGGGGCTCTTAGGACATCAACACTGACACGTAATCAGCTTAGAAAGTCTGCTGTTTGATGCTGAGCAGGGAGAGGACAGAGCCTTTTACTGCTGTTTCTCTGAAAACAGCTGCTGCTTCTGCTCCTGCTGGAAACGTAGTTGTGAAAATTTGTGATCCAATAAAGCAAACCAATCAGTAAAGAGGCTAAAAAGCTGTGTAGAGCAAGAGGAACTGCAAAATTGGTGATAATTCTCTGTGAGTTTGTCACTACACATTCACATTACACAGTCATTTGATCAACTGTTCTATAAAATTATTGATTTGAGATGTTTTAAAGCCACTACGTGAAGCATTTGAAAGCCACACAGTGACAGACAACAGTGTACTCTGTTTGCCACAGATTTTTTTTAGAAGACAATTTGTTTGATGTGGAGTACTTCAGGTCAGGACCTGCAGATGGTGTTGGATGGTCTCACTTTGAGACCTTCGTTGTCAGCCCTGTCACACAGCCTTGATCTTGTAGCTCCCTTCCTACATCCTTGCCACCTCTGCCACCACCATCTCCTTTTTCTCTCTCTCTGGCTGGCTTTGGATCAAAAACATGGCACTGTCTTTCCTGCCTGGTCCCTGCTCATAAGGTTCTTGGTGCTGCAGCCTAGCAATCGTTGTCGTTGAAACACTCTAGTAGCGGTTTGACAGAGTACAAATCTTTCTGCTTCAGGGGTACATAAATTTGACTATCATCCGCATAACAGTGGAACGAGATGCCATGTTTTCTGAAAATAGGACCAAGGGGGAGTGAATAAAGCAAAAAAGGAAGGGGGCCAAGAATCAAACTCTGTGACACCCCACTGGGGAGAGGCATGGAAGAGGACACAAAATCACCAAGGCTGACGCAAAAACTTCTTTCAGCCAGGTAGGACCTAAACCAATCCAGTGCTGCACCATTAATGCCCACCCAGTGATCTACATGAGAGATGAGGACATTGTGGCCCACTGTGTCAAAGGTAGCAGTTAGGTCTAAAAGCACAAGGATGACACAGTCACCAGAATCAGTAGCTAAGAAGATCTCATTAAAACCCCTTAAGAGTGCTGATTCAGTACTGTGAAAGGTTTTAAACCCAGACAGGAAGACCTCGAGAATATCATGCTTGTCTAAGAAGGCCTTTTTTTTCTCAGATTTTCTCCAGGATTTTATAACACCAATTCCAGCCTGGAAATGGGGGAATCCCCTTTAGCAATCAGGAGAAACAAACTGGGACTTCATTATTGGGATAAATTAAGTGGCCTTTAATATAGTTCAGCAACAAAATGTTTTAGAAGATTACTGGGAATTCATAGGTAGGGAAAAGAAGTCAAATTTCTTTCAGTCTATAAAACAGCTTGCAGTAAACATTGGACTTAGATAGTGTGATTGGGTCTGTCATGTCTCCTGTTCCTATCTGGTTTCTCCCTCAATCCGAGGATATTTATCTTTGCTTTATTTGACACATAATAAAAATCTTTGTTGTCGTCATGTCTACAAATATGTAAATCACTTTCAGAAAGAGTATGTGCAGAATTAACTGATGGACCCAGCCTCTGGGAAAACTGGGTTTGGGATGTATGTGGTTAATCTGCAGTTGTGGCAGATCTAACAATATATCTGTTTATTCTACCACGTTACTGGCAATTTTATGGGCTATGTGGTGGATAGAGCTAGTCAAACCCCCTAAAAGTGTCATCAATTCAGATTCTGTGGCTGCCTTGCCTCTGAGTATGGGACATCAAGGCCCGCCCTGACCTACTCCAGGAGATTTTATTCTGCTTGTTCAGGATTGAGAATTTGGGCTCTCATGTAGGCTTTCTGTGGATACCTGGGCACTCGGGAGTTGAGGGAAATGAAATTTCAGATTGGTTATGGAATCACTGCTAAGGAATAATGTAGATCTGAAGGTGATGCTGGAAAACTGTGAATGTTTCAGCATAAAGGAAAAGTTAAAAGGAAGAATATGAAGACTTGTCTGAGAACAGTCTGAGACTGTGGTGGTTTTGAAAGTTCTTCTGTGCACTGGGCTGCTGGGTAATAACATTGTTTTTCATGTTGCTTCATCATTTTACATTTCTCTTGTTCTAGGCAAATTGTAATTAAAAGCTACAAATTTGTTATTTAAGGTTTTGTTTTAAACATAGTTCATTTGGATTACTATGTTTTGATTATTTTATGTTTGTTATATAGAGATACATATTAATATTGGAAAAAATATCCAACTTAATGTTAGGTTTGATTTGAAACCACTTGCCCAGCCCTAATATGCATTTGTTTGTTTTTCATTTTACTATATTTTCTGTTTCCACATATAAACAGCATAAAACCAGATGTGACATAAAAATTAGAGATGCACGATATATTGGCAGCCAATACCTTGACCGATTAGCAAGAAAATTAGTGTCTGATGAAGTCATGTCTGATGATATGGAGCATGGCTGTGGCTTTGTTCTTTCTCTCCTCTGCTCTCTGCCTGTTTACACACTCAACAGAGAAAATCAAACTTTCAGGTTGTATTTTACATGAGCTGATGATGACGGTGCCCTTTAACCATACGTGCAACAAAATCCACCAGTAATGGAGACAGTATTAGCAGTCTATCAGATACCTGCTGAACGAGCAGAGGACAAAGTTGCATAAATGCGATGTCTTCTGCCGCTTTGCCCACTAGTTTTTTTTAATTCATCATTAAAAGTTTTATTATTTGAAGGAAGAACAAAAGTCTTTAGGGAAATATCAGGAATGCTCCTTTTTTAGTCTCATCCAGCTGGAGGAGAATGTCTGTGTTTGATTGACAGCAGCTGTCTGACATTATCCATCCATCAGCTGGAGCCAATCCCAGCAGACACTGGGTGAGAGGGGTACATCCTGGACAGGTCTTTATCACAGGGCCAACACAGAGACAAACAATCATTCACACGCGTGACCCTCAAAAGAAGTAAAAAAGCAGCGTTCAACATGTGCACTACTTTCTGCTGACAATCCCACAATGCAATGCTCCGCATTTCATGGATGTGAACATTTCCAGTGTGCGACACAACAGCTGACAGTGATGATGATCAGTAACTGAAATCTGAATGTACTGTTTACTATAAAGTAAACTGCTGAGAGTCTGTTGATAGTGACTGAGTGAGCAAGGGAGTGATTTCACACACAGTTGACTACACTGGATGGATGTTGTAAATGACCCCAAATAGAGTTTACGTTTTTAATGCACTTTTACATGCTTTTATTTTGATATGTCCTGTTAAACCGCAAGTTTATTTTGAAAGGATTCTGTATGCACGTAGTGGACGGAGAAGGCGGAAATTGGCGGCAAATATAGTGTACACGGTGTAGTAAGCTAACAGCAAGGATAAGGAGAGAAACAGTGATAAATGGTAAACAGGGAGAGCAAGATAAGGAGTATAGCTTTAGTCAAGAGGGGCTACAAGGTATGTTAAATGTACTTGCCTGTGTCTAACAGTTTTGAAAGCATCGACTGGATGCTACAGATGTTGAGCTGGAAAAAATCTACTGAGAAGTTGTGTCCGCAAACATCAGGTAACAGACAGATGCTGATCCTGTTATTAAATGAGACTTCAAACAAAACACTGAGTGAGAACTCTTTTACTCACCACTTGTCCCTTACATGTCTATTACACAGTATACCACGTCACCATTTTCTACATGTGTTCAGTTTACTATGATTTACCATTGTAACATTGTATCCCCTACTGTCCCAGGTTTGTTAGTGTTAGCAATATATTACATTTACACCAAGTACAAGTACAGGAGGCCTAAATTAGGCTTAGTTACTTTTATTATGTTGCAGGCTTGAACTTTGTGTAATAGTTTGTCCCTTTGGTCTGACCCACTATGCAGGACTGGTGTTTCGGAGGGGGTCCAGGGCCCAGCATTTCCTGGTTTTTATAATCTTGGTGATGTTGTGGTGACATCACTGGGTCAAACCAAGAAGAGGGGTTTATTTTCTATCAAATAATTTCTTTTGATTTTTGTATTTTTTAAGTTATGTAACTGTGCTTAGAAAGGAATCAATCATGTCAACTGGTGTTGAAATTGCTGTGTAGGACAACCTACTGTGTTGCGGTTCAGGCTGAAGCAAGTTAGGTGTTAATTGGCTACGTCCACACTTCTAACTACATTTAAAGCGATCTCTGTCCAGATGACAGATGACAGATTTAGCTCTGTATCAAATGAATGAAAACACACATGTACATGAGCAATCATGTACACTGGGCATGCTTGGATCGGTGTAAACAGGAAACAGATTGTCTACTTTGCTATAAATTGCGAAAAATACTATGAACAAGCAACAGCAAAGACAGCTGCAGTGTTAAAATGCAGAATTTAACTGAACAACAGCCGCCCAGCCCGAACCGGCTACATGGGTTCGTCTCCCAGTGGGCCCACCACCTGCAGGAAGAGTCAGTGGGGTCTGGTGCAATGTGGATTGGGCAGCAGACCAAGGTGGGGGCCTTGGCGGTCCGATCCTCGGTTACGGAAACTGGTTTTTGGAACATGGAACGTCACCTCTCTGGCGGGGAAGGAGCAGGAGCTTGTGGAAGAGGTTGAACGGTACCGGCTAGATATAGTGGCCCCCAGGCTCTCTGCCTGTATGTTGAGGTTCACCCCGGTGGATGAAAGGGTTGCGTCCCTGTGGCTCCGGGTCGGGGATCGGGTTCTGACTGTTGTCGGTGCCTATGCACCAAACAGCAGTTCAGACTACCCGCCCTTTTTGGAGTCCTTGGGACGGGTGCTGGAAAGTGCCCCGAAAGTGAACTCCATTGTCCTATTGGGAGACTTCAACACTCACGTGGGCAATGACAGCGTGACCTGGAGGGGTGTGGTGGGGAGGAACGGCCTGCCTGATCTGAACCCGAGCGGCGTTCAGTTATTGGACTTCTGTGCCAGTCACAGTTTGGCCATAACTAACACCATGTTCAAACAT